AAGACGTAGACTCCTCAGCCATCATCTGGGGTGTGGGAAGCAACAGTCTCCATCTGCCTGTGCCCTCTAGCTGCCCAGACGGCTTCAAAATCCTGCTTCGCCAGTGTTGGTAAGGACGGCCTGGCAAAGCTGGAAAGCAAAGGGTGGTTTCTGGCGGTTAGACGGCACCTACGACCCAGGCCTCCAGGCCCAGAATCCCGAACAGGGAAAGGACAGAACTCCCTCGTATGATTGAGACAGAACTCTGCAGCCTTGGGCAAGTGCCATCCTCCCCGAGCCCGTTTCCTGGTGTGTAAAAGGGGGACACTAGTCCCAGCTAGCCAGAGCGGCCGGGGTGCGCCTGTGAAGGGCCAGCACAGCCCCCGAGCATGGCAGCTGGAGCCTCGAGTTGGCTGCCTTAGAACACAGGAAGGAGGGTCCTCGAGCCTTGCTTGGAACCTAGACTTGAAAGGAGGTTGACTAGATTATCTTATCTAATCTTTGGTTAACCATTTCCCAAAGTGTGTTTCTTTGAATGGAGTTACTCAGAAAAAGGTGTTTGGAAAACAGGATTAAATAGGTCTCCTTCGATGTGCTAACGGATAGTAAAGCTAGCGGACAAGGGGCTTTGGTCACAGAGCACATTCCAGGATGCTATTCTCCAGGGCCCACTCTGGGAAAGGATGCTCTAGTTCCTTTCTGGTCATCCCTAAAATTTCCGTCTCCCGCAAACTCCACGCCCTCCAGGAACAGCAAACCAAGAAATCGTCCGTCGTTCCGCCAGATCCTGCTGCACCTGGACATCGCCTCAGCCGACGTCCTCTCCACGCCCCAGGAGACTTACTTTAAGTCCCAGGTGTGCTGTGGGCGGGAAAAGGCATACCCCAACTCCCCCGTCAGCAGAGAGGACAAGGCCCTCTGAGGGGAGGTGGGGAGGGGCAGACAGGGTGGTAGGTTCACCCTTAAGGGCCGAGACCCCATCCTGACCAGTCCCGTGCCTGCTCCTACTTGGCTCCTGGTCTGCAGCTCAAAGGAGGTCCCTCACCCCTGTCTCTTCACCCCCTAGGCAGAGTGGCGTGAAGAGGTAAAGCTGCACTTTGAAAAAATTAAGTCAGAAGGGACCTGTCTGCACCGCCTGGAAGAGGAGCTGGTGATGCGGAGGAGGGAGGAGCTCCGGTGTGTGCCTGTGTCTGGGAAGGGGATTTTGTCAACAGCGGGGACCGTGGACCAGTTCCCAGGAACTGGGACCAATTACGGCACCAGGTGACGCTAGCTCACCTCAAAGAGACCCTTCTGCCCGTTTCAGACACGCCTTGGACATCAGGGAGCACTATGAACGGAAGCTGGAGAGAGCCAACAACTTGTACATGGAACTTAATGCCCTCATGTTGCAGCTGGAGCTCAAGGAGCGGGAGCTGCTCAGGTAACCGTATGCGTCCTGTACACCAAATCTTGTCTTCATGGAGCTGTGACGCAGAGAACCTACTGAACCTGGGTCCCCCTTTCTGATCACATGCCCAACTGAGGTATCTTGTCTTTAGGAGGGAACAAGCTTTAGAGCGGAGATGCCCAGGTCTGCTGAAGTCACACCCTTCCCGAAGCCTCCTGCATGGGAACACAATGGAGAAGCTCATCAAGAAGAGGAATGTCCCACAGAAACTGTCACCCCACAGTAAAAGGTGGGACCAGAGTTCAGAAGTGTCAAGGTTTAAGAATGGCAGGGGGAGTGCTAGAAGCAGGGATGGAGCTCAAGGATGCCCAGAAGACTGAGCTGGGGAGGATGGACTTTGTACTACCCAAGGTCAGGGAGGGCTTTCCAGTTGGTAACTTTGTTGATCTCAGACTTGTACTTTCCCTCCCCTACCAGGCCAGATATCCTGAAGACTGAATCTTTGCTACCTAAACTTGATGCTGCCCTGAGTGGGGTGGGGCTTCCGGGGTGTCCTAAGGGCCCCCCCTCACCGGGACGGAGTCGTCGTGGCAAGACTCGTCACCGCAAGGCCAGCGCCAAGGGCAGCTGTGGAGACCTGCCTGGGCTTCGTGCAGCTTTGCCACCCCATGAACCTGGGGGACCAGGAAGCCCAGGGGGGCTAGGAGGGGGACCCTCAGCCTGGGAGGCCTGCCCTCCAGCCCTGCGTGGGCTCCACCATGACCTCCTGCTCCGAAAGATGTCGTCGTCGTCCCCGGATCTGCTGTCAGCAGCACTGGGAGCCCGGGGCCGCGGGGCCACAGGGGGAGCTGGGGATCCTGGCTCACCGCCTCCAGCCCGGGGAGACACCCCGCCAAGTGAGGGCTCAGCACCTGGCTCCACCAGCCCAGATTCACCTGGGGGAGCCAAAGGGGAGCCACCTCCACCAGTAGGGCCTGGTGACGTTGTGGGGCTGCTGGGAACTGGAAGGGAAGGGACGGCGGGACGGGGAGGAAGCCGGGCTGGGTCCCAGCACTTGACCCCAGCTGCGCTGCTGTACAGGGCTGCTGTCACCCGGAGCCAGGTAAAGTACGGGGCGGTTCCTAAGCTCTTCCCCTTTCCTCGTTCTCCCTGGGGCCCACGTCCATAACCCACCTCCTGTATCAGGTCTTCACCTTAAGCCATTCCCTACTTAACCCTCGACTATGTTCCCTTCTTTTGGGCCCTTGCTGACCTCTTTCCACTTTTGACCACAGTCCACTCCTCTCTCCTGCAGAAACGTGGCATCTCATCAGAGGAAGAGGAAGGCGAGGTGGACAGTGAGGTAGAGCTGCCCTCAAGCCAGAGGTGAGTGACACAGCACGGGAGGGGATGACAGTGTTTTGCTTCGAGGGCTGTGGTGTGCCAACTGTAACCCCGGCCTCTCCAACATACAGGTGGCCTCAAGGCCTGAACATGCGCCAGTCACTGTCCACCTTCAGCTCAGAGAACCCATCTGACGGGGAGGAAGGCACGGCCAGTGAGCCCTCCCCCAGTGGCACACCTGAAGTTGGCAGTACCAACACCGACGAGCGGCCAGATGAGCGGTCTGATGACATGTGTTCCCAGGGCTCAGAAATCCCACTGGACCCACCTGCATCAGAGGTGGTTCCTGGCCCCGAACCCAGCTCCCAACCCATCCCACACCAGGACCTACCCAGAGAACAGGTGAGTCACAGAACTAGGTACGTTAAGGAGCAGATGCTTAGTTATTTAGGACCTAACAGAGAGAGAGATGAAGACACCAGAAAGAGGTATTTAGCCTCCAAGTCACTTAGTATGTGAGCCCAGTTCCTCCCGTACCAAGGAGCAAATATCCACAGGGTAGACTTTGGGGGTGAGAGGCCCACAGTATAGAGCACATGGGACGGTTAGTAGGTTAGCAGCGTTGCTTGAATGGTAGCTGTAAATCACAGCCAGGACAAATCCGGACGCCGGGAACCTGGTGCCTTGGCATTTCATGGCCTCAGCTACTGAAATCCGAAGACCGTGAAATCAGCGAGCTGCTGGCTATTACAAAGAAAAGACCTCAGTGAAGGATCCTGAAGGAATCCATCCGTAACGCCAAGAGCTACCGAGCCTCACCTCACTGCACTTCTACTCTTCTTCACAGGGCCCTCCCACTAACGAGGACTCAGACTGTGACAGCACTGAACTGGACAACTCCAACAGTGGTGAAGCCTTGCAGCCTCCAGCCTCCCTCCCTCCATGAAAGCCACTCTTACTCCTGTACATAGAGAAATTATTTATATAAATAATATATAAGCGCCACATAATCAACAGAAAGATGGGGCTGTCCCAGCCTTAAGTCAGGCTCAAGGGAGTCTGACCCCTGACCAATTCACCTGGTAAATTCTAGGGCTACCGGCAGCTGTGGAAATGAAGGACAAGTATTACCCTAGAGCTGTGGGTACAGGCAAACTGACCCCTTCCTGCTTCACCCCATTATGTTCAGCGAGCGGTAAGGCAATAGAAAAGCCAGACTTGCCTCTTATGTTCCTCTATACTCTTTTCCCCCAACCCTGGGGAGGAGGAAAAGGAGCCACTTAGACTGCACTTTTTTGTTTTCCGTTTACTCTGTTTACACATTTTGCACTTGGGAGGAGGGAGGCGAAGGCTGGGTCCTCCCCTCTGAGGTTTCTCAGGTGGCGATGTAACTAATTTCTTTGTCCCTCCATTTCTCTGCCCAAGCCCTGGCTTAGGGCCTAGGGGGAGCTTAGGAGATTGTGAAAGCATGTGATGGCTCAGGCTGAAAAAAGGGGATGATGTTTTAAGTCCCTGCTTTTATCCTGGCGCCTGACTGGGGTGGGGACTGTCATATTGTAACCCCTGTGAAAAATCTTAAAATATAACCACTCCATGCAGGCCCAGCTGTTGAGGGTTTTCTTGGTCAATGTATGGGGTAGTACACATGGTCAAAGTAGGAGCCTTGGGCTCCAGACATTATCTGAGGACTCTGGACAAGTTCTTCCCTCATGTTTTTCCCCACTAAATGAACATCGCTTAAAGTTCCAACCGTCTAAAATTATCTGCGTAAATGGTAGCAGGTACATCTTTCTGGAAGGACTTTAGGAGGAGGACAGAGAATGTCAAAACACACGTTCTTCTTATGGCGAGAACTGTAAATGAACAGTTATTCAAAACAAGAGACTGGTTTTTAGCTTGGCCAAGGATGGGTCAGACATGCCCGGCAACCTGAATCCCAGGCAGACACACACGCAACCAACTGCTTCCACAGTACGCATGTGCATCCCTCCCCAGCCCCTGCCCACCCAGTGGAGGTGCTTCCCCAGTCTTTGCAGACCAGTCCTAGGAAAATGAGGTAAATGCGACCCCCGCACTTTCGGACAAAGGGCACACAGCTAGCCTGCGACAGCTATTTGGTTACTTTGCAAGGTAGGATCAAGGGAAAATTGGTTCAAAGGCTACAAAAAAAAAGATGGAGTGGTAAAACAGAAGGTAACATCTTAATGGAATAAAGGCTTATATTCAAAACCCAAGCAGGGTCCTTGTCCTTTGAGGCATAAAAGGTGCAAAAAGAACAGCAAGACAACAGGAATAAAACCCACATGAATCACTGTGGCATCCAGTTTCTATTCACAAAGAAAAAGCTCCAGTCCATCTTTTAATTTTTTTGAAAAATTCCTGACATTACAGAACTAAACTGAAATGTATTAATATTCCACTCTTACATTTCCATGACAAACAGAAAAAAAATTCATGAGCCAAAAAAAAGGGGGGGAGAAGCTTATAAAACTAAATATGGATCTCAGCATTAACAGCTGAACAGAGAAAGGAATTAAAACGCTTTAATTAAAAAATCACGAGTGGATGATAAAGTGTGTAGAAACTGAAAATTTACAAACTATTTAAAACCTGGAATCGCTGACTGTTCAGAAACTACACAGATGGATCATGGGTGGTGGTGAACAGCAGAAAGGGATTATGGATGAATCTGCATTGTTCTAGCTGCTCCCCATGCCACCCGTCTCCGAGGAAAGCCTGTAACACAAAAAATAAACAAGAACTCAAAGTTAGTTTTCTGAATGCCCAGCTGTACCTCACCTCCGAAACTTTCAATGTCAAGGGAGGCATTTTAAGATTTCTTGTTAACTGGTGCCATGATCTCGTAACCCCTGTAACCCAAGCTTTCTGAGGAAAATTATCCCAGAACTGAAGGAAACAGACTCTCGTTACCAACAGTGGGTGTTCCTCTAATTTCTGGGAGATGTTAAATGCTTTCCAGAAGTATGCCACACACTAAAACCTCCTCTTACAGGATCCTACTACACAGAAATACCTTTTCTTTACTGCTAAGCTTATTTTAGCTCCTTCCAAGCTACTAACCGAAAGCAGTTTAGAAACCCTTTATCTGAAAGTAGCCTCATGAAGCTAATGTTGAGACAGAGCAACAAAGGCTTTAGCTCTGGAGTTCTCTAGCATCGTGAAGGCTATTCCCATTCAGATAATATATAGTTTTAAACGCTAGGGGATGTTAAAAAGGGAAGAGCAGGTATAGTAAGTATAGTCAAGAATTACACCCAACCTATCGTCTTCAGACTTAAAAAGCAGAGGCCACATGTTTCAACAATTCCCTGGTTCCTTCTAGAAGCTCCCAAACCTTGGAATCCTTAAGCTAAACTCTCCATTCAAACATACCCAGCCAGCTACAATGCCTTTCTGTCTCAAATGTATCATTTGAGGTCCTGGAACCCAATTCTGAACTCTGAAGGAAAATCATTTAGGTATTTATAGCCTGCTTGACTGAGTATTACGTACCCAGCAAATCTTAGCTCCCGCTTTGGATAGAACTAAATGTGTAAGACTTAGTTTCAATTCATAAATTTCATTAGGATTTCCAACTGACTGGCATAACCTATTTGTGCTATCTAGTCAAGAGAAAAATGGTACTTTGCCATCTCTATGCCTTCCACAACAATGCAAAGCTGGGGGTCTGGGGTGGGGGGGAGAACAGAACACCCAAGAACCAGGAAATAGGTCCTTCAACTACAAACTGTATTTAAGTCTGAAATGGTATTTCTACCTCAACATAAAGGGGAATAGTTAGTTCTTTTAAAGGAGGCAGACTCTTGCCAATCTCAAAATAGGATGACCTAGGGCAATATAAGCAGTAAGCCCTGAACCTAAGACTTTAGTGGGGAGTGAAGGTTCAGGAAGGAGCTGCTGTGAACAGTTTAGATGTAGGACCTACCTAAAGAAAACTAAGTTCATGCAAGAAGGTGATGGCACTCTGGCAACAAAAAGAGCTCATAAAGAACTATCCAGAATTTATATACAGCCTAAACAGTGACTGAGGCAGTGGGTGGAGAGAGGGCAAGAAGGGAAAACCCAACCAAAGTATCATGGTAAGGACTCTATAATAGGACCACATGGGGGACCCAAAAACTTTTAAAAAATTTAACACCAAGTTGTGGCAGCTGCACCTTAAACATCTGCCTCCTTCCCTGCACTCCTCTGTTAGGGAGTACTCATTAGGTAAAGAGGCCTTCTAATCAAGAACTAGATAAAATAAAACCTGGTCTCTGGGGTGAGCTGGTACCAGCAAAATTAAGTCCTAGAGAGAGCTTAGTAAGGGAGAGCTGGACCATATGACAAAGGAGCAACCAGCAACTAAGAAGAGGAAACTATCTGGACAATGAAAAGAAGGCTGCTCCTCTAGTCCTTCGTGCAAACTTGGGACATGTAACACTAGTTTCATAGGCCAAATCTGGGATTGAGGGACCACAACACCATGAAACAACACACTGAAATACTTATCAGTAATTACTTTTTTTTTTAATACTATAAACCAAATGAGATGTGGGAAAAGATCAACAAGAAAAAAAAAATCTCTACACTAATTCTCTATGCTCTAAGGAAGAGCCATATGCTTTCAGGTTGACTAGAAGACCATCAGAGGCCTTCTGCCATTACACCTACAGCATTTCTAGTCTTTAATGGAGAGATAGCTGTGGTCTTAGTATAAGGAAAATAAAGCTTCAGGGAGATAAAGGACACTTGAGTAAAAGTAAAGCGCAAGTTGTTAGTGCTGATTAGTCACTCATGTGATCTGTGAATTTAAATTCTCCAAGGTTTTTTTTTAATCTGATAAATGAGTGGAGTGGTGAGTTGCAGTTGATCTTAAAGGTTCCTTCTAAATCTAAGTTTATAATTCTCTACTCATGACAGGGTTGGTGGGAGACAGAAGGAGGGGGGCAGGGAATGGAAGGAAGGGTAAAGGGACTTAGTAATCAGGGTGGGTTTAGGATGACTGGAGAATCCTGTCAAATTTGGGTGATGTTACAGGTTGGTTGTTCAAGATTTACCCAGTGTCACAGGAAGAGGGATACTTCTCATTCAGAGAAATGCAGACAAAAGCCAGCAAACTTTATTAGACTTTTTCCAACTTGCCTCCCCATTCTAGGTCAAGAAGTAACTTCTTTATATGTATGCTCTGTAAAAGATCCTCACAGTAACCACTCACCAGAGGAAACAATCTTGGGATGGACACCCTTGTTACCTGCTGCTGTTGGCAAGGCAAGGGATCCGAGGAGTCAGAGAAACTGGTCTTCACTAAAGCATCTTAATGCCAATGAAGAAGACCCTCAGGATGTAACCTGCTACAGGCTCATCTTTTGTGGGGAATGACCAAGGACTACTACTAAATTCACCAGGGACACAAGCAGGCCCGAGTCAGTCTTACAAGACTCCCTAGTTGAGTAGCCACAGGTCACAAGTTCCCACCCCTTTGCCCTTCACAGCACACAGTCAACTAAAGTTCTTACTGTGGCAACTTTATTACAGCTAGAAACACAAATCTGGCCAAGACGGCCTGCTGATAACTTAACCATTAAATAATTAAAAAAAAGGGGGGGTTAATGGAGAAGCTTTTATTCATTAACACAGAGCCTAACACATTGTTATATTGCAATGCAGAATAAAGCTACAAAAAAGTAACAGAATGAAAAGGAAGAGCAAGATGTGGCTCTAGATAAAGAATTCAACAAGTCAGACTCTGAAACAGGCACTCAGATGAAATGGCCTAACCCTAACCCCAGGTTACCGTTACCCCCACCCCCACCCTGTTATGCCCCAAAATAGTAAAAAGGAAACGGTCACAAGCTCACAATTGTTTGGTTCTCACCAATGTTAACAAAGAAAAACAAAATGAACCAAGAAGTACTTGAGGGGGTGCCTCAAGATATTCAATCAGTAGGGGGAGAATCTCTGTTTCTCGCCTTTCAGTTTGTTAGTTACACATGGCACGGCAGAGGTGGTGGTGGTAGTAGCTGAAGCCCCGGTACCCTTAGCAGCAGACACAACATTTAGAGCCAGGAGAGGGATGGGTTTCATGCCAAGCAGACTGGAGACACAAGGGGCGGTCGGAAGAGGGTTGGGGAGGCTGGAGGGTGCGTCGGAGGTCCCCGCTGTGGCGAGCGAGGGGGTGGTGGTGGAGGAGGAAGAAGAAGAAGAAGGGGTGGAGGGTTGAGAGAGGTTGATGCTGAGGTGATCAGGGATCGTGACGGAGGCTGCCTGGGAGGAGGGTTTAGCGTTTTCTAAACTGTAACAGAGGAAAAAAGGAACAAAAAAAAAAGGGTGGGTGGAAGGGAAGACCACAAAAGGGAAAAAGTACAGGACAAAAACCGCTTGTTATCAGTTAAGTGCCTCTGGCTGCAAATTAGGAAGACCTAATACCAACTTGTGATAAGCTGCCCCTCTTTCAGTCTGTGTCCCACCCTCTAAAAAATGTATACTTTACCAAATCCCATCCCACAACGCTATTTAAAACTGCTATGGTGAAGAAAAAGCTGATAGACTGAGAAAAGAAATCATACAGAGCACACTTCCACGTATCTGACATGGCATCCAACCCAGGAGTCAGAAAGCAATGATTTCAAAGTAGAAAATGAAAGAGTATTCATAGCAATCTCCAAACACGGAACAAAGGTCTCACACCCACCGATCCCTTGTGAAGGTGTAGAATGTTATTCTACAGAATTAGAAACCTTCCCCCCAATGCTGAAGTGTGCTTCCTTTTTTTTTTTAATTTTTTTAAAATTTTTTTTATTTTTTAAAGATTTTATTTATTTATTAGAGAGAGAGAGAGAGAAACAGCACGAGAGGGGAGAGGGTCAGAGGGAGAAGCAGGCTCCCCGCTGAGCCGGGAGCCCAATGTGGGACTCGATCCCAGGACTCCGGGATCATGACCTGAGCCGAAGGCAGTCGCTTAACCAACTGAGCCACCCAGGCGCCCAGTGTGCTTCCATCTTATACAACAAACTAACCAATGTATCAGGATGGGAAAGGACAAGAAACCAAAGTAGGTCACTAATTTCAAAACTTCAGAGAATGTAGCATTTTCAAAGAAAAATGCTGAGAACAAAAGTGTAGATAACAACTAGGAAAACTTCATTTCTGGTGAGAGGTGGGGTTGAGGAAAAAAAGCCCTTTGTTTTTGACTGAACATACTTCAAATACAGACCTCAGAGAACTGGAAGATACTCAAGCACTCCCAAAAAATTAGTTTAAAAATGTAAAAATACCGCCTCTACGCCTAAAAGTCCAATAGCCATAATGATCAGCAACTCCCAAATGCCCACACTTCTAAGCCAGAACTACAGTTATTTGTCGAAAACTGTCCGGACAACCTACCCCACAAGACTGACTCTTCAAGGGCAGGGACCCTCCTCTTAAGATTCCACCTTGTTTACCTAAGTCCAGAGAACATTACAATCTATAAAGCAGGGGATAAAGAAAGGACTCAGGCTGACAGAGTAAGAGCAGAAATGCTCAGAATCCATTACCGAAAGCAGAGAAATCTTTCTTGCCTGGTAGTAATAAAACCAGTTCGCTTTTGCGTTCAAACTGGGCCAAGATGGGAGAGTGAAGAGTAAGCTTTGTGCATGTATGATCTCTGCTTTGGTGTTAAATGAAGCTTCACAAAGGCGTGACCCAAATCCATAGTTTGGACAGTTTCATGAAATGGGATGACCCTAAATGGCCAGCCATCCTATAAGGAGGATCCTGAAAAAAGTGACTGAATCAGGAAACTCAGGTGGAGATGTTCTGCTTCCTTACGTTGACACTGTCCTAAGGTCAAACAAACCACTTCCGTTTAAGCACTACCTGACAATATTTAGGGCAAGCCTACCCAAGCAGAAGAAAACAATCCCCAGCCTCCAAGAACATGAATCTTACCACTTAACACCCACCCTCCCCATACCCCAGTTAGAAACAAGAAAAACCCTTATAAACAGCCTCTGCACAAAGCTTACTACCATCTCCCACTGAACATGAAGAATCTGATGTGCTTGGTAGCTGAAGTAGATCTACACAAAGAAGAGTCTTTTCTACATAAATACTAGTAAATACCTCAAAGCATTAAAAGGCTTAAGGCAAAAGTCAAAACCACTGGGGAACTGATAAATTCTTAACCAGGAGATAAAAGACAATGGAATAAATACAAGGTCAGTGTAAGCAGAACAAAACAGACTTCATACTTATGAATTCCTTTCCCCTGTACTAGATTCAGGAACTCAGAACCCCTTTTATGCACAATAAAAAATGAACAGTTATGACAGAGTTAAGGGACTAGACAAAAATCTACACGAAAAGGATGGCTAAGCCCCTTGGGAAATAGACTGCTAACCCCAGCTTAGCATGTGAGTAAGCAATTAAGAAAGTGACTAAAGCACATGTGCTGAGAAAGCAAGAAATACCAATGCCTTGTAGGATGTCCACCAGACCCCGAACTATGGCTGTTGTGTGCAGTATCATCAACTAGGTTTGGGTGAGGAGAATAAAACCTCAGGAAGCCATTACGGTATGAGATGGTGGCAAAAAAAGAAAGAAAAGAGGCTAGGCATTTCTGAAATATTCCAAAACCTGTGCCTCCCCTTTCCCACAAGCTCTGAACAATGGAGCAATTTGCAATTTGAGAAAAATGGATGTTTTCAGAATAAATGGTAATCGCTGCTTCCAAGAAACTGCCTTGCCGTCACATTACTTCATTATCCTTACTCCAATTACGGCACTTTGGAGACTAAACCCCATCCATGAAATATTGGTCTATGATATGTACAGCAAGAGACCTACATTTGCTTCTTTATCAGTATGGACGCTCCAGCCAGAGCACTGTCCTACTAGTGAAAACCTGCTCTACTCTTTCCATGCCTAAAACCATCAAGTCAAATGCAAGCATTCTATTCCCCTCCCCCATACAAATTTATTACAATCTTGTTACTTTTCCTGCTTGCTACACTAAGAATGGATCAAAGCAGGGCTAGACTTTAACTTTATTGCCATCTCCACCCATCCCCACTCCCATCCCCCAAATATTCCCACATTTAATAATACACTGTAGCTTTCCCCAACACACACATTACTTGTGTTGCCAACAATAACACAAAAGGTAGAGAGGGAACCCTTACCTGACATTGATTAGATATTGAGCCAGGCTAATGCTGGCAGCAGATCCAGTGATGGTAACCTGCCTATCAGTAGATCCTTCCACTGGGTTCGCAATTTTGATCTGCGCCCCAGACATCTGACGGATCTCATTGATTTTGGCGCCTTGACGCCCGATTATGCAGCCAATCAACTTAAGAAGAGAAACAACAAGGCATACCAAAATTAAAAGTTGCATGGCTAGGTCCAAGAATTCCATCCCACCCCTCCAGTCTTCTATAGCTTGGATCCACAATAATGGCAATGGAAACTACTATCCACATCCTACACACCTTACTCACATACTCCTGATTAAAAAACTTGATTCTAGATTGCATCTCCACTCTTGCCCTAATTTTGTCTGACTACCAAAGATCAGAGCCAACTCTCAGAGGACTGACTCCGAGGAGCATTAGCTCATTTCCTAGAGTACCAATCCAAAGACAAAATAAAGCAGAGCCAACAGGCTAACAAACCAGTTTCCCATGGCTAGGGATAATAAAGGTCTCTGGTGTTTGGCAACAAAGATGCCTAAACTCATCCTGCTATGATTACCATTTTAATATACTGATAAGAATTCTGCCTAATTTATAATGCTTTTGCCTCTAGAAAAAAATAAAAAATTGGTCTACATTCATATTGTCCAAAACTGTAGACACTAACACGTGATTATTGAAAACCTTTAGTGTGGCTAGTGAGATTGTGAAACTGAGATTATTCTCACAATTTAAATAGCCACATGTGGTTAGTGACTACCATGTTGGACAGAGCATTCAATGGCCGCTGCTTTAAGGATAAGACTTCAGATCATCCAAGAAACTAAGGCCAATGGGAATTTATATCTGAGACAAAAATGGTTTTCTCCCTCATGATACCTCAACCCAATAGTTTTAACTATTTTCTCCATCGGTTTTTATTTGATTCTACATACTTTTGAAATTTTAATTTGGAATCCAAAAAAAACCCCATTTCCTTCCCTAGGCCTTAAGAACGGCATGACTCTGCTGCATCAACTCTTATTTTTATCCCATGCAACCCTATTAATTATACTCACATCATTTGGAATGGTGAGTTCATGAGAAGTAGTCTGAGCAGATGCATCCAAACCTGCTAAAAGACAGAAGAGAGCAAGGAAGTTCAAGGCATAGCAAACAAACCCCCACTGATCTGCACATTAACCTAACAGAAGGAAACAAACTGGAAACCCAGCATTGGCTGTTGGGATTCATCACTAACTTGGAAGCCTCCAAGGAGGAAAGAGGGGGAAAGGGGTACAGAAATATGCTGGAAAAGTTCCTCTGTAAACTCAGAAAAGCTGATTTCATGCCATTTCCTGCAAAGCCCAGCCTATTAGGGTGTAAGTGGATGGAAGCCAGGGGCAAGGGAATGTGGTAGGACCAAATTCTAACCAAATCCTTCTGCACTGCTCCCCTTTTCTGCTTAGGATTTCCTGCTGCTGTTGTGTTCCAACTTTATCTCACCTGATGCTCACTAGCACCAGTGCCAATATCATGCCTGTTACTGGGTACCATGGACTTTTGGCAGACATGCAGAGTTGCTTTAAATATACCTGTATCAGATTAACACCTCCCCCAATCCTAACCTACACTTGAAGGTCAAATAGAATGAAATGGCACCCAGGTGAGGGAAGTTCATTTCTCCAGATTTATTCCCTGACTTTTCCTCAATTGCTCAGTAATTTGTTCTGGTTTTTATTTTGTTTTCCAAAGAAAAAGAAAAAAAAATTCCATCAGCAAACACCCATACCCATCAATAATATTGACACCTGGAAAGGACCAGGCTGGCTGGCTAATTCTCAAAGCTAGTCCTGCTCTCAGCTGTGGCCTCTAAACTCAACGTTTTTAGAAGGGGGTTGGCCAGATCCATCAAGGGACCCTCAGGGGCACCAGGCCCACCCCTTTGCTCTCTCAGCTCCTTTCTGCCATGTGCATCTTGCTGGTATGTCATGGGCAGTGAAACAAGACTCCCACCAGTTTATTAATATAACAGTAGAATACTACAGATTTTTTTTTTTAATCATTACCCCAATAGCCTTTCACCTCTGGAGAGCTGGATTCAATGCCTGTTAAGATACAAGTGAAAATGAGTTTGGTGGTCTCATCCTAACCCTATCGGACAAGTTATTCCTTATACAGAAAAAAAAGCCCCAAAAACAAAACAAAACAAAACCAAAAACCACTACACAATTTGGCACAAATGGATTTCTACCCAGATCTGTGAATAGCTGGTGGAGAGAAAGGGGGTGCCAATCAGATCAAAGGGGCAGCAGTGAGGATGGGAAGAAATATTAGCCTACCCTTTGCCTGACAAGCATCCCCAGACCTCACCCCAAACCTTCCAGGGCCTTTTTTTTTTTTTTAAAAAAAAGAATAACTCACCCCAAATGAAAACCAAGTTAACAAACACATTACCTCCTTCGGTTTAGCGATAGAAGACAGGCAAGTTTAAACCAGCAGGATGCTGGGTAATGAAGTATGTTTTAAACAGATGTCAAACTGAGACCTTGGGGCTGGCCTCTGTCTTGCACTACACTTTACAGAAATAAACACTGAGGTATCCATACCACTGAATCCGGTGTTGCCATGCGTCATGGGAAAATGAGACTGTTGCATTGCCAACTGGTGCAGCTTGGTCAACTGCAGGGAGGAAACAGGAGAGGTTGGCATTAGAAGAGTAACAGAGTCAGGGCTCAAGCATATTCAAATTTGAAAATGCAGAGCTCCTGATCCCCAAAGTTGACTCTACTACTCAAACTACAACACAGGGTAAAGATGGGACTTATACCACAATCCTGCAGATGAGCAGAATATGAAGGTAAGAGTTAGAAATAGAAAGGGCATCAGTACAAGAGAATGAATGCATTTTGGGTGTGTGAAAAGAAAAGCAGCAGCACCTGCCCGACAACCATCCCCTTGTGGGCTACTTAATGAAGGTGTTTGCAGCCATTGCAACAGTTGCCCCCGGGGACAAGCACAGACAGGCTAGGTAAACAAACTGTGCAGTGGTGCTAGCAGAAACACACCATGCAGGGTTCTTTTAGTACTAGGAGAAGGGAAGGAGATGAGAGGGCAGGGAGACTGCAAGGAGGAGAGATTAAGATGAAACCAAACTGGGCTCAGCCCCACCCCCTCCCAATGGATTTCTACAGCTATTTTTCTTCACCTATATAAACTCTCCTGGCTGTTGTAAAACAATCCCTCCTCAAGGCTACTTCCCCTCCTGGGCCAAGCCAAGAACCAAACCCAACTTCCCAAGTCTAATGCTCAGCACCTGAAAAGGTTAGTAATGACAGAGGAAAGTGCAGAGAGAAATGCCCTTACGCAAAGTTTGAATACCAGCGCTTTTAAATAGCGTGTTTAGTGGTGAGAAAGGTTTTATTGAGTCGAATCCCCAAATATTCAGCTTATCCCTCCCTGTGCAAAATAAGCCCCTTTCCCACCCGCCCAGATGCTTTTTAAATTATCACCTCAAATTGAGGAGTACCCAAAGACAAACCCAACCTCCCACCCCACCCCCCATGGAAAGGACTCTATGAAGAGATACACAATCCACTGTCAATTTAAACTGTGCCCTGGAATAATAAATCACAATATACCGTGGAACACTTCTTTTAGATAGAATAATCTGGAATATGGGGAAAGCAGAATCTAAGCTGCTGAATTCAAATTTCCAATGATTATGTCAAAAAGCAAACAAGATACTACTGTGGCCCTGATTAAAGATTATTTAAGACCCAAAATATGAGGTTCACCTTGTGAGGAAAATACTATAAATGTTTAAGACCCAACTCACTTCTGCCTATGTAGAAGAAAGAATGAAACAATTTTGGATGGGAGAGGGAGCTTTTCAAAGCAAGAAGTGAAAACAAAACTTACATCTGGCTGTGGAATGGCATACTGTCCTTGAATGGTATAGGCCTACAAAAGGAGGAAAACAGTTCCTATTAAAAAACCAATCACGGACAGCCACCCAGTGGGAGAAGGGGAGACAGATTTCAACTAGCCAGGAAGCCAGAGTTGAACTAGAGATGGGGGAGGCCAGAGATTGAGGCAGTAGATGGTATCTCACAAACACAGTCAGACCTGAGTTGGCCTTCTTTGAAACCTAAATATGATGCCTTATTCCAGGAAGCCTATGAAGGGAGCCATGTTCCCTGCAATCAAAGGCAAAATACACATTTGTTTCTTAAGGGAAAGGTGGGAAGTTGGATTAAGCAATGCCTCCTTGATTGACCAAACCCCCTTCTTTTTCCCTATATACAAGACAGCCTAGGAGGAAAATGTTCTCTTCCCTCAACCACCCCAACCCTTATATACAGGTCATGGTGACATGAATGATTTGTATTTGCACAAACCTACGTGGCATGTTTTGAAACACTTCCCTTTCCCTATCCCTATCTTATTTTTCTCTACATCTGCCTAAAGACGTTAAATGCACTGGAAGCTAGCGGAGTACCTAACACTAGGGAGCTGACCACAGGAATGCAAAATAAATAAAACAAATCACTGTGTTCTAAACCCTGCACCTTCTCCCACCTCCCCCTCCATAAAAGGCCCTTGCAGCTCCCACTACACCCTCCTCCCCCCACACCATAACCTCCAAAAAGGGAGCTGGGTCTTCAGGGCAATGGGGAGGGAGACAAGGAGGAGGAACAGGGAGGGAGGGGAAGGAGTGGCTGGTTAACAGGATGTGAAGCTTTTCACATCACAGTGGCCAGTACCCCCAAAAGTGCACCCAGGTGGGGGTAGGAAGGTGAAAATGGGATAGGAAGAGTGGGAGATGGGGAAGAGGGGTTGAACAACAACAAAAAAAAAAAAAGGAAAAAAAAGGAAAAAAAGGAAAAAAAAAGAAAAAAAAAAGAGAGTTGGTGTTACCATCTGGTGGGCTACGCGGCCTGTGTGAAATGAGGTGGGGGGGGTCAGTCCAGGTCCCCGTGGACAGGTGGTGTCCACAGCATAAAAATCACCAGCGCCACTGGCCCCCCGCGTGTTGGCAGTCTCGGCTGAGGCGGAAGGATTGAGTGAGCCTTGGAGACTGAACATCCCCTCTCACCTCTAGAGGTGGTCCCTCCAGGTCAGGGTTGAGGCACATGGACGGGGTGGTGTGGGGAAAGCTCGCACTGTCGCTGCCTGTGCTGTACCTGTCCTGTGGATAAATAGAGGATTTCAGTCTCCAGGGCTGTCAATCCGGCACCTTGTCACCAGCATGAAATTCACACAAAAAAAGTTGTTTAATTTTTTCTTTTCCTTTAAAAAGGAGCTCACGACACAATTTGAAACGAGCTGCAATCAGTGAATTTAAAAAAAAAAGTTACCTTGTGGCAGGTATCACACTGCACAATTGGGCTATTTTCAGTAAGAATGAAGGGACGGGGCAACAGAGCTGATGCCAGCTACTGGTCAGTGTGGGATTAAGTCGAACCCCTACAGAGCCCACTTTTGTCACAAAGGAACAAAAGATAGAAGTCCATCTGTGGACATTGCATGAACCAGTCCATTTAAAAAGGCCCATGGGAATAATCAGGGCCACTCATGAAAGAAGGTTCGCCTTTAGAGGGTGGTCAACTGAATAAAGGGGGGGGGAGGGAGGTGGGGAAGCAAAGAGGTAAGAAGGGGGAGGTGGAAAAAGGAAGAAAGGAAAGGGAAATGAAGAATTATAGAGAGGATTGCTGCTGCACAGCATGGGACTCTTTATAATCCCAAATGGGAGTGGAAGAATCCAGAAGAGCAGGAACCTAGAGTTTCTGGGGAGAAGGGAAAACTCCTAAGGCTAAGCCTCCTTGCTATACTGACTCTGGGCCTTTGTTTATCCTGCCTGACTATCCAGACTGACAGAACCCTTTAACCAATCTGGTTTAAACAAAGCAAAGTACTAAACTGTCTCAAGGTAGCACTGCAACACGATTTCTTGTGAAAGCTCCCAGAAGCACATGACAAACTAAGTCCCCAAAATCTTGTTCAGTTTTATGCCAACTCAAAATAGAATGTGAATGAGATGGACTTCAAGTTTTTGCTTCCCCCAATTCAAAAACAAGATGGAACTAATCGAGTTAAGTGTGCTTGTAACAGGCCAGCCCCTCATGGGAAAAGGCATTCTGAGCAATGCACTTGCTTAGGCAGCCACCAAAATGAAGGTCACTATTTCAACCTGAACCCCAACATTTACAAAACTGACCTACCTACTCCTTAAATACTAACCAACGAAGCATAAAACTATCATGGTTCTATTCCATGCTCTTGCCATACAAATCTGACTTCAGAATAAACCATGTGCCAAGGATCAAGAGTTTAGGTGGGTGAAGTAGAAAGAGGCCAAGGGGGTGCTTTGGTGTTCTTACTCTAACACCAAACATGATAGCACCACAGCCCAACATGCTCTCCCCCTTCTATTCTTGTACACTGAACCCTTACCCCGGCTGGTTTCAGTTATGCCATGTGGGTTCAAACCAGCGTTTATGAGGTTAAGAGCCTGGGGGAACAATTCACTGGAGTTTGGGAGTGAAGGGGTAGGAGTAGGGGAGGTGAGGTGGGGGGGAAGGGGAAGTTTGTAGGACACTCAAGTTTAGGACCCCCCAATTTTGAGACCACCATCCAGAATCTCCTTCAGAGGTCCAGTTCTTTGCTACTTTTATTCAGACCTCTAAACAACACCCCACACATAAAAAAGCATGGATGGGGTGGTGGGAGAGGAAGAGAAGTAGTGACACCAAGGCCATTTTACCCTTTCTTCTAACCCAACCCACCTTAAATCACCAAGTAAATTCCCCCTTCCGAGTGCCTACAAAACTCCCATTGTCTGCTAAAAATTAAGTAAGGGCTTGGCATTCATAGCTTTCTCCAGTACCAAAAAATAAAACTAAAAGCAGGTCAAACTAATGGCCAGAGTACAGGTTTCAGCAAGCATGCAGAGTGGCCTGGTGTGCTGCTGGCAAAGTTGACATTTCAAATATAATCCTTGTTCATTCTAGCCCACCAATAAGAACTTTCTTACCTGACCACCTGCAAAGATGACTGGAGAACTGGATGGCTTGGGCCGGTACGGGATGGTCACGCCCTTCGGGGGGGACTGGGAGAGAGTCAGAGGGGAAAAAAACAAAGAGAGATAAGGTTTCAAAGCTGCTTCAGCTGTGTGGCTTAAGCTCACACAGATCAGTTAAATTAAAAACTGTATTAATTTCCATCCCCTCACCTACCAACGTTGTCTCTGGCTAGATCTAATCTCAAATCATCTGCAGTTATTTGCCTTTAAAGCAGTAAGATGGGTCCGTGGACTACACAGCTCACACTAATTCTCATCAAGGTAGATTCCCCTGTAATAATTTACGCATTATTCCACGTTTTCAAATAAACCTAATGAACATGACAAACCTCTATGCATACATATATAGTTGGCAATTTAGGATCTTACATTTTGGCCCATATAAAAAATGAAGCCAAAACAGGAAATAAAGTACCTCAATATTATGCCTAGAATAATACAGACACTGTCAAGAAAAATAGTTCAAAGGTTCAGTCAGCGTTTTCCTAAACTCTACTTGAAAATCCTACTTTCCTTTCTCATTCAACATGGGACCAATCCCATTACAATTCTATAAAGGTTTATTTTCCCTTAATTTTGCTATTCTTATTTTAATTGAATAACATATGCTACCAGGACCTCATAAATCATTCAAAAACACCATTATGGATAAATCTTCTCTTATATAAATATCTTGTATATAATCCTGCCTTAAAACAGAAATTAATTTGAAGAATGCGTCAAAGTTGCACATGGCCAAAATACTGTAATCCAAAGGCAACTTAAACTCAGCTTCTCAGGAACCCAGTTACATCTTTTGTCCATTCAGTCCAAGTAGTGAATCTTCTCCTACCAACCTGCTGTAAACCAAAAGATCACTGCTGCTTAACAGTTTCTATTTTTGCTCAGACTGTAAGAAAAGTCAAAGCTGGGGGGAGGAAAATATGAACTCAGGGAACCTCTTCCCCACCCCCACTGGAAGCTTCTAACAGCTTCACCTAATTCTAGTCTTACTAAATATAGATCAGTCTGTCTCCCTAGAATCACCCTCCCCCCATTCTCAGCATGAGCCTGAGGGCTTACCTCCAACATGACCACGCAGATCTGTTTCACACACTCAATGATGGATTGCGGAATGCCAGCAATAGTGATGGCCCGCTCAGTTGAGTTGGGGAGCATATCCCCTGCCACCTGGACCTGAGCCCCTGTACTCTTTGGGGTAGAAAAAAATTTTAAAATCAGATAAAAACAGCTCATACTCTTCCAATTCCCCAATCAGCGATTTTAGAGTCTAACACTCAGTACAGATACTTAACCCATCTCCTATTTTACCCTTTTTATCCTCCCTTCCCACTCTTCCCTTATTCCAGATAGGACTGTTTAATCACAGTTATAAATAAATTAGGCTCTGAAAGTCAAGAATAAACCTGAATAACAGCCTAAATTTAAGCTGTTCTCAAGAAAAAGGCCCTTCTAGAAATGAAAGCTAGCTAATGATAGCTTCATGGGCCATCAAACAAAATCTCCGCAAGTATCATCCACTTTTCATTCTCTTATTGAACAAATATTTATATGAAGCCCATTCTATGTGTCAGGCACCATTCCGGTTGCTTGGAATACATCAAACAAAGCCAAAATCCCTGCTCTCATGGCATATACAATAAGCTCCTGAAAACTCCTTTAGGAGCCACTCAAATTTCATTCCAACATCCAATTCAATAACTCCCAGATCCTATTAAAAGCTTCCACAATTCAATGTAAATGCCATAGTTTAAAAGAGAGCACAATTACAACTACATCCTAATATACCTTCCTGTTTTCCCCTTGGTTTAGTAGGAGTTTGGCCAAAGAAAATACATGCTATTATTATGTATCAAACTGTAATCTTCTTAAACATGAAAAAAAGTATGTAGTCTGATGGAAAAGTTGCCAAATTAAAAAAATGGAAACGGGGCGCCTGGGTGGCTCAGTCAGGTGTCCGACTCTTGATTTCAGTTCAGGTCATGATCTCAAGGGTAGTGGGATCAAGCCTCATGTTGGGCTCCGTGCTGGGCAAGGAGCCTGCTTGGGATTCTCTCTCTCCCTCTGTCCCCCCACTCCCCAGCACAGTGCTCTCTAAAATAAAAAGGAAAAAAAGAAAAAAAAAAAAAAGGAAACCGGTCATATTCAAGAGTTAGAAATTCTGGTTAACCTTCTGACTTGTTAAAAAAAAAAGAACTACACATTTTTATGTATTCATCAATGGTATAATCCTTTTCTTCCCAATACAAAATCAAATTGTAATCATCTAGGACTGTTACTTTAATAATCTTCATCTCAAATACGAACTTTTCCTAGCCATACTAAGAGCTATTAATAGAGAAAGCCACATTTAGAATAAACATTCTGAAGACAACAAAAGTTACCAACCTCTCGTATTTCTTTGATCTTGCAACCACCTTTCCCAATGAGAGAGCCACACTGACTAGCAGGGACCACCAGCCTCAGGGTAACTGGGGGTCTACTGGCAGCTGTACTATTGGTCATAGAGCTGCTGATGTCCTTCAAAAAGAAATTCATCAGAACAAAAGAATAAGTTCAAGCAGATCCCTGGGACCCGTAACTGCTGTAACAGAACTGTTTTAACCTTGTAAGGGACACATTATGTTATGATCTACCATCAGCGAAAAGTTCAAATATTGCCTCCTCCGCCCCCAAAACAACGATTTCTGAAAAGATAAAAAAATACCTACAAATTTCCTCAGAATTAGCACTAAATACAGTTTCCTTCATGGGGGGGGGTTGTAGGAAGAAAAGTTGAGTATTAGTTTTCGAAATTAGAGCTGACTGCAAAGTAAAACAATATTGAAGTCAAAATTAAATAAAATATTAAGAGAAGGATGAAACAACACAACCCAATATTCAAAGACCCAATCCTATCCTCTTAGAAAACTGGGATTTAAGTTGTGTACTTCTTTGTATCATTATTTTAATTTCTTGCTATTATCACCATCATACAGAAAATGAAATTGAGGACAAGTACTCACCCCAATCACATCTAAAAAGCTATAGATTTGAAATTCAAAGACTGTATTGGCTCCAAAGCCCACCATCTTTCCCGTAACAATATGCTACATCCAAAAGTCATGGTTTTAACCTAGTTAAATTTAGCCTCCTGAGGATTAAGTGGTTTAAACATCACTTCTCAGCCTAATCTCTATGCAGTAGCTGGACCCGGAAAGTGCTTAAACATAAGCCCTTAAAGTCAAGGACATGTTAAACTATGAACAGATCTTCTGAATGTTTTTTAAGCTTTAGACTCTGGATTAGCAGGGCCTTGCAGGTCAAAAGATAACATTTCTGATCTTGGCCATGATAAAATTTCAGGCACCATTAAGTATCCAACCACCAACCCAAGCAGCAGCCAACAGCTCTCCTCTGCCTGTAGTGTCAAATGCATGATTAGCAGCATTACTGAAGAGGGGGAGGAGGCTGAAGAAGACAAGACCTAAGGCAAAGATTATTCAGTGTCTGAAGGCTGAGGTACCTTGGTGAACAAAAAAAAAGCTTCCCTCTGCCAAAAAACCTCTGGCACTGATATTTTGCTTTTGATTACCTATAAAACATTCCCTCCCTTCAAGTATAGGTCTGACACAACATTTCAGACAGATTTTCTTAAAAAATGTAACTACACCCAAGGGTGAAAGGCATCTGTATTTATAGTATGTAATAGTGTTCACCAAGGTTCCTAAAGAAAGCACATTTAGGCTCACTCAACTATAAATCAGGGCCATAACGTTTAGTAATGAAGTACTGTCTATACCTTCAAAACTGTCGGTCAAAAAAATGAAAATAAAAGATGCTAGTTTTTCACACAATTTTTTAATGCTGAGTCCCTGGTAATAGTCAAGCTATTTTTTTTTAATGATTCAACTGACTTAATAGTCAAATTTTGGGGACACTGAAGGGGGGGCAAAGGACCCATTCATAAATATTTATGATCCGTTCTGTTCTTGAATTTAAAAAGTTCTCAGAAAGGGCGCCTGGGTGGCTCAGTCGTTAAGCGTCTGCCTTTAGCTCAGGTCATGGTCCCAGGGTCCTGGGATCGAGCCCCACATCAGGCTCCCTGCTCCACGGGAAGCCTGCTTCTCCCTCTCCCACTTCCCCTGCTTGTGTTCCCTCTCTCTCTAAATTAATTTTAATTAATTAATTAAGAAAATCACTAAGTTATCTAGAAGCACTTTAAAAGGAAGACTAAATGGAGAGGGGTGTCTAAGTGGCTCAGTTGTTTGAGCAGCCAACTCTTGATTTTGGTTCAGGTCATGATCACAGGGTCCTGGGACTGAGCCCTGCGTCAGGCTCTCCACTCACCAGGAGTCTACCTGAGGGATCTCTGCCTCTCCCCTCCTCATGAGAGCATACACAAACACTCTCTAAATAAATAAAATAAAAATGAAACTTAAAAAACACCCGAAAGTAAAATTAAAACAAAGACTAAGTGCAGAACGAGAGAACAACAAACCTCTTCCAGTTTGTCAATGATCATAGCGAAGGCTTTGAAGATGGCGTTAGTGGGTCCAGCCAAAGTGATAATTCTCTCAGGACAATTCCCTTCTGAGATGTTGATACGTGCACCACTCTGGATAAAAAACAAAGCCAAGAGGTTAAAAAAGACAAAAAGATCTGAGCATATATAAACAGCCTCCCCCCATAAGATAAGCAAGGAACTGCCTATGTAATCTTGACACAAGGCAATTTCAGCATCATTTCAAACATTGCTCATTTTTGTCCTCAGACTACAGAAGCTGCCTTAATGTTTGAATGAACTGAGACACAGGAACTACATTTCCCAGCATACTATATGTCATTACAAATAACCAAGCCAGAAAAATACCACATTTTCCTTTTGAGACATTCCCCCCTGTAATCACTCATTAAAGAAAATTTTTGCCTTTAAGGACTTAACAGTCCCTAAAACTCCCCCCATATAACTCACCTCCTCACGCATCTTCTTAACTGATTCTCCTTTCTGTAAGAGGAAAAGTCAAGAATGAGCTCCAACTGCTATTTCAACCCAGACTGACTAAACAGTAATTAGAGTTGAAGTGAAACTGTCTTACCTTTCCGATGATACTGCCAACTTCCTGCAATGGAGAAAACCAGCGTCAAATAAGAGGAAACTCTAAGTGTTCATTATCACGAAAAGGAATTTTTAACTGTCCAAAGCAATGGGAAAACTAAGATTTATAGGGAAGGGACTGGGTGGGCTTTTGCTTTGCTCAAAACATAAATGAAGATATCCAAGAATTTTGAAGGAATAATGATGCAGGAATGATTTAATGCTATTGTGCTTAGTATGTTATTTTTTAAAGTACCAAATACATCACCCTCCACCCCCCGCATTAAAAGTTTCTCAAAATTGTCTGGGCAGAGGAAATCTACTTATCACAAGCTATAGCAACCTCCACAGGCAAAATCTTATTATCCAGATATGCGACAGTCTTTGGCTCCATCCTCTAGTTAAGCCTTTCCTGCTCAGCAGAGCTTCCTACTAAAGTCTGTCCATTTTCCCACTACACTGTCATCTACTCTGATAGAGTAGAGTGCTAAAGCCAGATGCCCCACAGTGCTAATCTGATGAGCTCCAAGATGCATGCCCTCTCTTCCTGGCCTCTCCCTGAGCAGTTACTATGACCCAATTTCCCAAGCTGGTGCATACCTTTCCATGCATAAGTAGCCGGATGGTGAGAGTGACATTTAATCCACCTTCAATCACACCGGTGTCCATGTCGAGCAGTATTCTGGGGAGCTGGACTTTGAGTGGTCAAGTCTTTGGTCACTGGTGGGGTGAAAGCCAAAAACTGAAATGCAAACATGATCAAAATCAGAAACAACAGGAGAAATAGTTCCTAAAATCATTTTCACCATTATCAATGTTCTCTGTTTTCCTTAAATCACAGCCTATCAATTGGCAAGCTTGTATATATCCAGCACAACTACACTAATGACAACTATTTACAGCTCAGGTTCTGTTAAGAGTATGGAAAGAGACTTTTCAGTCTGCTCTCCTTAATGGTAGGGTTTCCGCTCTCAGGATGAAGAAGATTCCTTCAATCGGCAATGGTTGTAAAGGAACTGCTGAACATGCACTTGTCCTTCAGCAGAATAAGCTTTGACAGGATACAGAAACACCTGGAAATCATGAGGCCAAACCTCAAACTAACCTAACCAACTACAGAGAGGCAGATGACCTTTTGCTTCCCTGTCAGGTAGCAGTTCAGGTTGAAAGCTAGGAAGGACACAAAGTTTTCTTACTTGCAACAATTTCTAGGTAAAAAACTGAGATGTATCGCACATTACAATTTCTAATCTTGACAGATGACACCAAATAATTTTAGATTTAAATCAACAACCTCACTGAAAAAGGCATTATCAGAAAGCCTTCTACAAAGGCTGGGATTCCATATTCTCCTTTGGGAAAACAGTACATTAAGCACAGCCTGAGTCCTTTCTTCTATTCCCTTTCCCAACCCAACTTGATAATCACTCGGATTTGAAAATTTTCCTTGCTTCTGTGTATTAACCTTTGTTACCACTTCATCTTTATTCAAATCTTTTAAATCTTAAATTTTCTTCCAAAGAAAACAATGCAAATAAAACTAGTATTGCTAAAAATTTATTGTATAGTTGTTTTAAAGCAACAGCAGTAATGAACCTTTCCTACAGAGAAAGCTCTTTCCCCATCTGTCCTCTGAAACAATGTTCCCAATATTTCTGTTTTGAAGTAACAAATTACATGCAGAAAGATAATTTGTTTTTTGGATATACCTTTTCCTACCATACCTCCTTTAGGACCTAACAGCATTAACTTTAAAAAGGTTCTCCAAAGTTGATAAATTTCTCCAGTGACATTTTTAGCAACCATCCCTTCAAAACAACATCAATGAACTCTCCTACAACTAGTTTTCCCCCTTCACAAACTAGCCACCGTTTTAACTTTGCTCTAACACAAAGCCCATCCCTAAACACTTAAAAAGTGTTTTTAAGTTGCTGCCAGATCATTCTGTTTATGGCAAGTTGCCCCATGGTTACCTCCAGAGCATGATTTAAAAGATGGGCTGTGCATCCCCAAGGCACCTCATTCCCCCATCTTCAAAACAGAATTAACTGCTGGCAAAATCCCAAAATTCAACACTTTTCACTCATGGAAAAACAACAGTGCTGGGGGGAGGGGGACTGAGTGGAAAGGGGGAAACAGAGTTACGTCTCTAAGAATGACTTTGTTTTTTAAAATAAGATATGGTAAAATATTGGCAGTTTAGCTCCTTATCTCCACTCAAATGTAACAGGAAACACTTTACAAACACCACAACAACGCAAGTATGAAAGGGCAAGAACACTGAAAATCTTTTAGAAGGCCATTTCGTGATTAAGGCACAAAGCTGCATTTCTAACTCCAAACATCCAAGAAATCCCTCTCATGTTCTCCTGACTAGGTCAATTTAAGTGTACCCAATCCCAGGAATCCAGCTGTTAATCCTACAGTCCATTACCCCTTCTCCTATAAATAGCTCGGCCTGGGTCTATATCGGCAGGCATTTTGTAATTTCAAAATTCGTTACCCCGAGAGAACGTCCTGATTAACTCGGTAACTGGGAGCCCGTTTACCCTTTCTTTAACTCCGCAGCCCCCCTCCCCTCGGTCATCCAAACATTTTCCAATTAAAAAATGCCCCCCCCATCCCTCCACCAGAAAAGAGAGAAGGGAAAAAAAAATAAACGGTTCGGTCGGGGGGGGGCGCTGCGATCCAGGGGGAGGGGCCGGACTAGTAGCGCCTCCTCGTGTGCCTGCGCCAGCGCTTGACCCCCGCGGGGAGCCGCGCTCACCCGCCCGGCCAGCAAGCCGGCCATCGCCTCCCCCCACCCCCTTCAACCAACAAATCCACCGCCGCCCCCCCTACCGCGCGCGCGCCCTCCTTGACTCCTGCGCAGCCGCCACCGGGAAAAGGCGGGGGGAGGGGGGTAGGCCTTGCGCGAGGCCTAGTAGGCCGCGCCTGAGCCAGGGCCTCGCGTGAATGGCCGGCGAGCCAGAGTGAGGGGGTAGGCGCTCACGCGGTACTACGCGAGGCCGGGGCTCGTGACGAGAACCGGAGCCCGCTGAGAAAGATGGCAAGAGTGGAAACAGAGCTATAGCTGGGGGCGGAGGAAGAATTTTGAAGCTTACCTGCAGGCGCGAGGCGACTGAGGGGAAAAGGGGAGCGGGCGGGAAGGGGAAGGGCGGGAGGCCGGGGGCGGAACAATAGGGGCGGGCGGGAAG